GGCCCAAAAGCCCTATCCTCTGGGCTGGGAGCAGCGGGAGGGATGGTGGCCAGGAAGCCCCTTCCTCTGGACCAGGAGCAGTAGAACGGTGGCTCAGAAGCCCCTACCTCTGGCTGGAAGCAGCAGGATTCAGTACCTTGGTCTGGTGGTCTGGTGTCCTCTGTATCTTTGTAGTGTGGAACCAGGTGGCTGTACAGAGGAGCAGGGGGTGGGCCCAGATTTGTACATTTCTAAATTACTCTCAATTCTTGATTAATATATGGTCAAAGTAATTTTGGTTTGAATTAAATTCATAATTTTGTCATCACTTTAATGTTTAGAAATTTTATTAATAATATGTAATACTTATTGGGAAAAACCTTAATTTTTCAGAGTGTGCTGATCTTTTATAAGACTATTTTGAACATATTTGTATTTAATATGTTTGCTTCTTTTGTAAATAAACTGGAAAATTTGATTCCTTTGTGGTGCCATCCTTGTTGGATTTTTAAGTTTATATAGCCAATAAAATATGTTTCTCAATCCCTCTGTCTTGGATTTCTCCCTGTTTCTCATCCAAATGCTGTTTATATGGATCAAATATGTTCCTCAAATGAAGGGAGGGACTGGATGGAGAAGTCGACTGATGGACTAAAGGACTGAGAGATGGGTGAAGAGTGCTAAAGGCAAAATAATGAGAGGAGCCCAAGGAGAAATGAATGGATGTTGGATTGAAGGACAACACAGAAAATCAAACAGAGAAATGGAGAATTTTTAAAGTGTTGTACAGTTTCAAAAACTTTCAATTGTATTTGATGACAACTTTAGTAAATTTAAAATTAAAAAAAGAATATATAGGGCATACTAGTTGAGAAGAAATGAAACTGTTTGCAAATGACATAATTGAATATATAGGATGCCCAAAGATCTGACCCCCAAATATTGTATAACTAAGAAGACAATAGCACTGAGGTTAATGTGAAAAAGTTACTTTCTTTTCAATAGGCTAGCGATGAAAAATTAGAAATAAAAACATAACATCATTTACATTAGTATAAAATGAGATGCTGACAAAAATATAACAAGCACACATAAAATGTGTCTTAGAAAATAATAGAAGTTGGGTTAAGGAAATCAAAGAAGTAAAAGAGTCCATGTTCATGTATAGGAAGACACCATATTATTATGATGCCAGTTTTTCCTAATTTGATTTATACTCTCCATGCAACTCTACTTAAAACCTTATGCAGTTATTATGTGGATATTGATGAAATGTTTCAAAAGTCTACATAGAGAGGCAAAAAGACCAAGAATATCCAACACAGGAGGAAAAGAAAAGAAGAAAGAGGCACAGCCATGAAAGGCTGCAACAAAAATCTGTGGTTGTATGGAAGGAAAGTCCCTTCCAGCAGCAGACCTTGCAGAAACAGCATCACCAGGCTGCCTCTCCCTTGATCAACCCCCAAACCCTCAAACTTACAGTCACTGAGCTCTGATGAGCCCAATATGTCCATCATCTTCTATCCTTCCATCCTTCCTCATCTGTCCCAGTGACCTCTATCTGTCATTCTCAAGAGCCTTTACCATCCAAACCTTCCTATTTCCCATGCATGGCCATCCTTCTTGTCCTCTATGTCAGGTCCCATCTCCATCTGGTCCCCCTTTCAATCCTGACCACACCTCCCTGTACTCCCCACTCCAGAGATGTCAATTAAACAATTTTGCCTACCACTGTCCCAGCACCTTCCATCCTATTGTCCTCCTTTACCCTAACCCTAGGTAAATCCCTCTTTCAGGGATCTCAGCCCATCTTCATGACTCCTGTGCCCTTCATGCCCAAGCACACCAGCCTCCAGAAATCTTATGTCCTCATTTTTCCCATGACCACTGTGCACGACCCCAATTGTGTGATCCCTGCCCTTTTCTCCTGAGCCTGTTAGCCACTCAAACTTGCTATTCCAACTCCCTTCATGGCCTTGCACCTAGGTCAGACCGTGTTCATTGTCCTTCAGCTGTAGCTCCTCCGGCCATCTCCCCTCTTCCCTGCACCAAGAATAGATGACTGTAGCAACTGCTCTGTGCTCCTGCACTGGGTGAGGAGTGTTTGCTTATCTGGTAACTAAAGGAATGGGCTTTAAAACCATCACACGCTGGTGGATTTATTTGTGAAGACTTCATCAACTTTTGCCATTGTAAGGTTATTGTTCTTTTTATACTCCTATCTCTACTGGTTTTCTACTTCAAGAAAGTACATATTTCTATATTTCTGTATTTCAAATTTATTGCCAAAGAAATCTTGGCTTCATGGTTTCCCATGTTCTGTATCTCTACCCCTTTGACATCTCCTTATCAGATATTTTGTTTTCTCTCATTGCTCATAATTTATATTATCATGACCATTAGCATTATGGTGGTTATTAGATAACTCATTTCACAGTAGACAAACTTTCCAGGGCAGGAGGGAATTCACTGGGGTGCGAGAACTTTACCACCTCCCTTGTGTCAGACCTCAAGACTCCTGCTCTCCTCCATCTGGGAGTCTGCTCCCAACACCTCAATGATCTCTTTAGAGATGCTCATTGCAAACCTCATTGGTGTCAGTAATTAACAACTGGAAAACGGTTTTCAGCACTGTTCTCATCTCCCCAAGCCTGCTTTGTCATTGCCACTCAGGATGAAATAATAATTGAACTTTTCTGGAAAGGTGAGGTCATAGAGTCACAGACTTTTATCTCAGAGGAGAGACACAGATATCTTGGCTGATACACTGAACTCACTTCAGACTGTGCAATGAGGTGTTTGTTATTTTACCCTGGGGCAATGCATGAAAGATAAGCAGGCAGATCAGAAGTCTAGAGTTGTGGTCACATTGGCAAGTGTGATTCTCTGGAGTTTAAAACTGATCCAGGAGAAAGCCACACAAGCAGGAGCAATATTTTCTGAAGGAAGCACTGAGCTGGTAAGGAGAAATGGGGGTCCTAGATGGTTCATACCACCGAAGAGTCCAACAAATGTGAATTTATGTTATCTTCACTAATAGTGGATTTTTATAAAAATCTATGATTAAATTTATAAATGTGAGCTTATAAAATGCACAAGATTATAGCTCTTACTTTTTTTTCTGCATGTGTGTCCTGTGTGTTTATATTTTTCACATATCTCAGCTACCTGCTGACAGTTTTACCTATGTAAGGTTTAAATGGATCAATAGCTATAGGGTATTTTAGTTATTTAGTATTTAGCACTAAATTATTTGATCCTGTATTTATGTTTCATATATCACAGTTCAGGGAAAGCAATGGGATTACTCAATAATTTTTGTGATGTTATATTCTATTCTTGTTTTTAGCATAAAACAGAAACATCAGTTCTCATTTGAATGTTTAGCACTTTTTACATTTGTTGAAGCCAAGTTCCTGCATATTATAGAGCAATCATCATATCTGCATTTTACGTCTCTCAATTGTTATAGATAACATTATCCTATAGAATACAATATTAACATAAATTGAAAATACTGTGAAAATTCATACATATTAACAACTTAAAATACTGACCAAGTCTAAAAGAGAACTGCTAATGTGACTTAATTACTCAGTGAACGCAGCTCACTAACTTTGCTAGTGTCGCATGCTGGAAATGCTGGTTTGGATGAATGTATGCCACTCAGATTCCCATTTTGCCTCTGGATATAGATATATCCCTATGGCTATATTTGCCTTTATTTTTGTAATGAGGCAATAGTGGTTGCCTTAAAGAGTTGTGAGAAAAGTGAGTATCTATTTGGCCTTTGTAGCAGTTGGTCATACATGACAAGTGTTCTTTGCACCTGTACCTTCAACTCCTGAAAACAGGCCAGTAAAAGAAACACCACAAGTGTCTCTGAAGGAAACTAACAGGAAGTGGAGAATGCTGTAACCCAGTTTTTATGGTAGATGCAGTCTCTGCGCCGTGCTTTTGTGCAGGGCTCTCTGGCTCTGAAGACCAATGTCAGCCTCAGCCTCGAAAACTGGCAGAATGGAGGCAGCAATGGGAGTGGTTTTCTTATCACAGATTGTGTGTGGAGTCCTTGGAAATTTCTTTCTTCTCCATCATTATCTCCTTCTTTACTTTACTGGACACAGGTTAAGGTCCACAGATTTGATTCTGCAGCACTTGATGGTAGCCAATTCTTTATTCCTGCTCTCTAGAGGAGTCCCCCAGACAATGGCAGCTTTTGGCTTGCGAGATTTCCTCAATGACTTTGGGTGCAAACTCGTGTTCTATCTTCATAGAGTGAGCAGGGGTATGACCATCAGCAGAACCTGCCTCTTGAGTGGCTTCCAGGCCATCACCATCAGTCCCAGAAACTCCAGGTGGGCGCAGGTTAAGGTAAAAGCCCCCAAGTATATTGACTGCTGTGTTTTCTTGTGCTGGATCCTGCAAATGCTGGTGAATATAATTTGTCCTATATATGTAGCTGGAAAATGGAGCAAAAGGAACATCATGCTGAAAAAGGATTTGGGATTCTGTTCTGCGAATCATGCTGACACAATAATCACTGTATCGCTCTATTCAGTGGTGTTATTATTTCCTGATGTTGCAGGTTTGACCCTCATGGTCTGCACCAGCATCTCCATGCTTCTCATTCTGTACAGGCACAGGCAGCATGTCCAATACATCCATATGACTAAAGTCTCCAAATCTTCCACCGAGTCCAGAGCTACGCAAAGGATCCTGGTCCTTGTGAATACCTTTGTGTCATCCTACATCCTCTCCTCCATTTTCCAAGTCTATATTTCTAATTCCTATCAACCTAACTGGCTATTGGTGAGCATAGGTGCATTTATGTCTCTGTGTTTCCCGGCTTTCTGCCCCTTTGTGCTGATGATACATGACTTCTGGTGTCCAGGCTCTGTGTCTGGGTAAGGAACACAAAGCCTCCTAATCTTAAGAGAATTGTTTGAGTGCATTTGTCACACAATATTTAGTTCTTTGCTCACTCATCTCCAAGGATTTGTAAACATGACTATAAAATAATCATGTGAGAATAGTGAAGGAGGTAGACTGAAATTCTGACTAGCAGTAAGCCTCAAAAAGTACTAGCAGTTACAAATAACATAACTTGTACTGTTTGACTTCTTACACAAGTAGTTTAGTGTCTGTGTTAGAGTAGTTCAGCACCCATAAAATAACAAAGCAGTGGGTTCACAGACATTCTGGAGATTATGGAATTGGCACCGAGTGTGTAACTCACACAGGGAAGGGAATGTGATACAACCTATGTTCCACATGCAGGCTGCTGCTGGCACATTTCCACAGGAGCAAAATAGGTTTCTCTTAAGATCAGGAGATATGTTAGTATCGCTCTTCATCACATTATCAAGCTGATGGCAAGTATTTTTTTGATGCCAAGTATTTAGGAGCTCATAATTAGAAAAGTAAAAGAATTACATGGACATATTGGATGTAAACACATACAACAAATATATAGAGTTTTGGCTCAATATATGGCAATACTAAATATGAAAACAGTAGAAATATAAATTTTTGGTAGAGGACACATTTTAAAATAATTGTATTGGGCCACAAATCAAGATGCAGTACAGGGCTGGGATTTAGCTCAGGCGCTGTGCCTGCCTTGCAAGCACATGGTTCTGAGTTTTATCCCTGGTACAAAAAAAATGCAGTACACACACACACACACACACACACACACACACACTCTCTCTCTCTCTCTCTCCCTCCCTCTCTCACAGTGTATAATCAGTCAGATTATGTTATTATCTTTTAAATAATTGTTTTGAGAAATTGTTCTTTAATAAATGCAATCTACAACTCATAATAATTGCATGAAGAGCAACCTGCTGTAAAGCCTATTTTATCTCATATTGTTACAGTCATATTATTGTTTAATAAAAATTAAAACTTTAATCTAATACTTCCTCCTAACTTTAAAAAATTGGTGATGAATACATTTCATTATTTTTCTTTAATCACAACATTATAAGTGTACCACTTGACAAAATACCAGATAGGAAAATTAAATAGAGGCAAATAGAGAGTTACAGAAGTAGTAAATGTACTCATTTCTTTTCTTTTCTTTTTGTACCAGGGATTGAACTCAGGACCTTGTGCTTGTGGGGCAGGTGGGGTGCCACTGAGCTAAATCCCCAGCCCTAAATATACTCATTTTTTCCCCCATTTAGTTTATTGGTACATTTTAGGTATAAAATACAGTTACATTCATCATTGGGATCTTGTATAATGAGTATGAGTATCTTGGTTCTTATTTTTTCCCCTCCCCCTGCCCCCCCTTCACCCCCTCCACCCTTCCCTATTTGCAAAGATTTCGTTTCCATTTTTTTCCTTTTCTCATATTTTTTCCCTTCTTTCATTTTCCCCACCTCTCCCACTTCCCCTGATTCTTTAGACCTCTACTTCCTATTACACAATATCAATTATATATTTGTAAAATTAAAATATCAAGACCTAGGAGACATTATCCCAGATTTTACAGAATTTAAAAGGATATAGAAAGCATATTTCAAAAATCTGTTTTGAAATAAATTTGACAACTTCTAAGAAGTACCTTGGAAGACAAATTAATGAAACTCCCTTTGGATATCCAAAAGCTCCCAGTGTGACTAGAGCATGCCTGTTTTCTGCTGGTGGGGACTCTGAGGCAAGGTTGAGTCCTGAGGTCTTCTGTCTAAATCAAGTCCTAAAGGGATTTTGGGGTTCCACATCTGTAGTTCAGGTGTCCAGGACCACTGCACAAAGGGCTTTTCTTATTTGGGTATGATGTACCCATGGAATAATACCTATAACTTTGACAACAGCGGGGGTAGCAAGCACAACAGTATATGCCACTAGCCAAATAAGTGGGAAGAGCAACTTTTTCCGATCTTTAACCCAAGCTGCTAACATCTCCCCTAAAATATCAAGTGATTAGGGGAGGTCTCCCAAACATTATCTGATATGGGGAATTACCTGAGTGTCTGGGCGTGCACCTGATTCTGAGCAGGGCCAGAGGTAACATGTCTGGCCATTGTGCCCCTGTTTCTTGGCAATTCTTAGCCAAGATGGTTTTAGGGTTCAATTAATGCATTCTACTGTCCCTGAATTTATGTGGCTGATAGACTGTGCACAGATTCCATTTAATCTTTACCATATCAGAGAGGACTTGGACAGCATCAGCCATGAAGGAAGGCAGGTCCATTGTCACTTCCAGTGGACAAAGGGAATTGACTTTTTACAGGTCTTGGAGAAATGGCCACTACTTTGAGCTATGAAAACCTGACTCTGTCCCTTCCTACCAATACAGAATCAGATCCGGGGGTAGGGTCTGAGTAACATCGAGCCAGGAATCAATATAGGGGAACTGGTCAGGGTAACCTGGTTGTTCAGTGATGACTTTCCAGACTGCACACACAGTCTGAACATCCAGGGTTCCATAAGGGGGCCACCCTAAATTATACTGGGGCCAATTTATTTTGCAGAGGGTCTAAAACCTTGGGGACTTCAGTCTAATTCCTTATCTCCCCCTAAATCTCTTCTTAAAATTTTTGACCATGCAGTCTAGGACTGTGGGTTTACTATGGTTGTCACCCATGGTGGATGTAGTGCACTTGAATGGTGGTGCAACAGGCAAAGGATGGGAGCCAAACAAAGGAGACCACCCAGGAGTCTGCCTGGCTGTGTCCCTTGTGGGAGCTTAGACCCATTTTGGCTAAGTTCCAGGTGTAATCCACCGCCTGGTCAGCCTCCCTTTATGAGAGATGAGTTACCTTTATGCCGTATAACATTGCCATGGAATCGCAGAGTAGGACCCAATCAGACTCCATAGCTGAAGCTGGGGAGACATATAGCCCAGACCTGGAGGACCATGCACAGTTATACTCCTTCACACATTTACCAGTTACTCAGAGGTAAAACAGTCCTTTACCCCTTAGGGAGATCCCTGACTGAGATCTGATTCGAGACCATGAGAGGTGATGAGACTCTCCTGTCCACTGGGACAGGCCTGACTTGGTTCAAACAGGGCCCCGGGTGGCAGGGGACTTTTCCAGATCTTGAGGGGAGGTCCCTGACTGGGGTGTCTGACTCAAGACAGTGAGAGGTGATCAGACTCTCCTTCTGTCCCCTGGAACAGGCTTGACTGGGTTCAAACAATGAGCTCTAGCATGTAGCTGGGCCCCTGAGCTGTGGCACTTACCTGTGACACTGAGCTGTAACACTTGGCTATAGCACAGATCTGCTCCCTTCTGCCACAAAAATCCAATTTAGTTTTTGACCAAAATTGTGGAAAGAATTAAATTCATGAGCTGAGGTACCACTCTATCATCTTGCAACAATAGGACACACCCCAACATTTTTCCATAATTTAGTCATGTGTTGATTGGTGAGAAATTGTTTGTGTGCTTCTGTTCCTATCCTAATATTTACCAACAATCATAAAACCAAGTAGAATATGGTAAATTAGTCAATGAACATTCATTTTTTTTGTTGCTGAATACCCACTTTTTAGTGCAAAGACTGATGTTTACTTTTTCAGTGGTTCAATCTCACTAAGCTCTTAGCAGACCCCAAGTAAAAGACCAATTTGTAAAACTGGGCCATTTTAATGTTCTTACAATTTAATAAATCATTCTCTTGATGACTGCAGTTATAAAAGCTGTGATAGTATTCATAGTAATGGTGGTTTTCCTCATTGGTCTGTAGTCTTCAATAAGTGTGAGAAGTTATTGTATGAAACATCTTTCAAACCAGTAAGACTGCATTGATGCATCCATCATTTTCAGGATTGTTGGTTACCTGGGCATATTTACCCCAAATAACCTTGGCTCCTTGTGTCACAAGGCCCAACTCACTCACGTTCACTTCAATCACTGTACCTTTGGTAATAACACCCAAAGTTGTATGTAGTGGTGATGAAGGATTTTTTTTCACACCAAGTATTGGCAGGCAAAAGGTGGCTTTCAGTTCAGGATGTCTTACAGGGGCCTTCTTGAAATGTAAGCCCATTGGCCTAATGAACCTTTTGTATTTTGTGGTTTTCTTGTAAAGCCATCTCCAACAAAGCAGACTTTAGTAACCATCCTCTTCCATGCCTTCTTTTTTCTCTTTCCAGTTCGAATAACTTTCAATACTTCTGTCTCTCCCTGTGCATGAACTTTGGGCAGAGGGACTTCCCATTTTCCCACCTTTTCTTTTCTTTTCTTTTCTGTTTAATCATGTTGGAAAGTACTTTTGCCCTAGACTGTCCCTCTCTGTCTAGCAGATAGGCAGGTATTGCTCCCTGAGGAGTCTTTTCATCATTCTTTTGTTTGGTGTTTCTCTCTTCATGAGTCTTGATAGTCTTCTTCATTTGTATTTTCTCGGCATGGCGCTGTTTATGGTAGAGCTTAGCCTTCAGGCCAATAATTTTTTTTGCCTTCTTTGAACGTTCATGAGCCTCTCGACTTTCCTTCTTTCTCTTTTTTCTCATGGTAATCCAAACGATACTCATAATGTTTATGGTGTAATTCAATATATTCATTTTGTGGCATGGTGACAGCGGCAGAGCTGCCGGGGGCGGCCTCAGGCACGGGAAGAAAAGTTTCAGATTTGGGGTCTCTCCTACACACGACCTGACTCTGAACATTCATTTTTTATAGTTCTAAATCTTTATTCAGGGTTTTCAATTTACAATGCTTAGTGAAAGAAGGTTTAGAAAACAATGGAAAGAAAAGAGAATAGAAGGAAAACTGGAAACAAAGCTTTCTTAAGAAGGAGAAGAAGGGAGGTCAAAAGAAAAGGAGGAGAATGGGAAAAAAAGAAGCAAGATGTATCATGTACAGGTACAAACTCCCTGTGATGAATGCTAACATTGAGTATCTAAAATGTACCAATAGCGAGCGGCGGGCATGATAACACATCCAGTAGGGTAGCGCTCGGACTTCAGTTGTCATTACCCGTGCGGTTC